TCCTAAGCCAAAAAAAGCATCTCACTATTATTCTCTTAGCAAAAAAGACGCATTTTCACTAAAATTTTTTAAGTTCTATATAGCTCTTAAAAATTGCCAATTAAATTGAACGAATCTTGAAAAAAACAATAAAGCGCTATAATTTATAAAGTAAAAATGTGGGGTTGCGTCATTTTGGCTTAGCACGGCAGCATCGCTCTAGCGTAAAAATACTGTTTGTTAATTATGGATTATTTAGGATTGTTTGTTTAATGGTAATTTAGTCCAGGCTACTTATGGTTGTTCCAAAACCAAGTGCTGGCAAGATGGATTTTTCACGGTTGGTTAGAACTTGCCAAAAGTCCACACTCAAAAGCCTTGTACAAATTCATATATGTTAAGTTTTAAATCGTATAAGTAGCCTAGACTAAATTACCAAATTTTGCAACATTCTCTTATTATTGAAGAATTAAGACTAATTCGGTTTGTACTCCTTAAACAAAAACATATTTATGATATTAAATCCTGATTCGAGTTTTAACGGTTTAGCAACAAACAGTAAAAATCCGAATGAAGAAATAACTAGCATACAGTCCCTGTAAATATAAATTGTACCTATTAGATAGATACCTACTAAATTCGTAGATATCTTTTGTCGTTTACTATTTTAAAATGCACTTTTCTGCCTTTTTTAGAGGAATCAAATATAAAAGTTAGATTTCTTAAATGACCAAACTTAAATATAAAGTATAATAGGTAAAGTTATCATTAGTGAAATCTGCACCCATAAATATACGTACCGAATTGGATCCTTTTGCAAAACATGAAAATGCAACGATTTCGTTCTTTAATTACCTTGACCACTTAGATAAAATACACACACTAACTTAACTATGTAAGCATATAAGCGTTGAGTTTCTTAATTATTAATATAAGAAATAATACATCGAAAGTTTTTAAGTTTTTACTTGCAACGCGAAAAACAAATAACATGCGCGATTAACAGCATATGACAGGAAGTCCTCGTAAATTTTTCTGAACGCCGATAAGCGATACTTTTACATAATATATTATATTCTGCCCTACAAGGCTGAAATGCAATATAAACTACAATACAAATGTCTTTTCTTATTTATAACTTAATATATAATATATTATTAATATAAATTGAACAAGGAATATTTTTTGCAATTGTTACTGCCATGTTTTGTAACGCAACCACTACCAATGAACTACGTTTGGCAGTCATACGATTGCCGATTTTTAGCTTCAACCATTTTCTTTACAATTAATTTTAGTAAGAAATTAGAAATTTAGTGGAATAATTATATTTTTTTAGTTTTTTCGGCGGAGATTATATAGACATAAAATGTCCTTTTTACTTTATGTGTTGATTGGTATAATAATATTGTAATAATTCTACCTATAGGTAGAATTATTATAGGATAGGTAATAAATAAAATAAGTTTTTTTTACACCGCATTTTACCTTATCGTCATAGTGACTTAATTATTTTAGCATGTAATAATAGCTTGTAACCTTTTGATAGAATAAAAAAATAAAATAATTTCAGATGATCGTCATTTATGAAAAATCGAAAATTCTAAAAAACATGTTGTAGTATACACCTTGTCCAAATTTATTTGCACAAGATTGCCAACTCCGATTTTATTGGAGCTACAAAGTCGGTTAAATTAACAAGTTTGGGACATGTTTTCTTCTGATTAAAATGGTAAAAACAGAAAAACAAATAAAGCTCGGTTTTCTGAAATATTCACAAAAAAACTTTTTTAAACTTGACACCCTGTATATGTTTTTACATGTTTTGAAGGACAATTTAATTTGGAATAAAAAATTATAATTGTATCACTACCCTAAACTTAAAAACAAACAATAAATAAGCACTTGAACTTGTTGAATTGTTGTTAAAATAAAGTAATAACTAGCTAAGTATACTTGGCAACGTTGCATTATAAATTGCTCGATGTTTCCGGTGGTGTTGGTTTTGGTCAGCTTAGTTTACCGAGGTCCTAAAAGGACGATGTAGAATTTTAATTAAATTGACTTCAACACTTGCACTTCATCACTTTCCCACGACAATTTTGGGCATAAAATTAACTAAATTTACAACCGTAAAATGTTTTTAAAGCATTTTATTTAATTGTGTTAATAATTTATGTATGAGGTCCAGAAAATAGGCTTTTACTTTGCTATCGCGATCAATGGGAATGCATAGAAATAGCCTTTATTAACGTACTTTGAACTATTATACCTTTTTAAAAACAACACAATAATAAATAAAAGTACAATGGTGGTTTTTAAGTTATAAGAAAAGCTGGAGAAATAAAAAAGTATTTTTTCTACTCCAACCTTTAAAACGCCATTTATCGAACATGTTTTCATGACAAGTTGTGGCTTTATGGCGCTTTAGTCACATGCTGAAGTTAGCAACAGGTTTTTAGACATGGGCTGACGTTAGTTTTAAGTTAGTTGACAGTTGTCAAATGTCATACAATCGTTTAAATAATACTAAATGTAAATATTATTTTATTATCTCAATACAAAAATACAAAAGTATTAAATAGTTTCTCAACGCCAATATTTGAAAATTTTATATAAATATTGTACTGACCTTTTAATTTCGCCGGCAGTAAACAAGATACTTTCACTGTGAAAAACTGCTTCTATTTCGAATTAAACTGTCTATTTGCAAGGGATACATTTTGATTAAAACATAAAAATTAGACATTTAACATAATACGGATTCCCAAGTTGGTTACTCTATTATTTTATAGATTTCGCTCTATACAATTATTTAATTTAAATCATTTTTTAGAGAATAATAAGTATTTGTCGTGGAAAAAGTATAGTATGCAACTCGTTTATAAATTTTTCTAGGCACTCATTTAATTAAGCACTATCAAACTTGATACATAATAGTATATTATATTATACGTAATTAATAAAATGAATAAATTTTCACTAATCATTGTTTCAGAATTTTTCCCGGAATTAAATAGAATTTTCCACGACGTGTCATTTTAGATTTAATTTATTTTCCATTTTGAAATAATAATTTCCGGAAGTGAAAACTTGGCTTATACCCAAGAGTATTGTATTCTTTATTTAAATTACATTTCTCAACAAAAGAGAAAAATAGCTTTCAAAAAATCAGCTCGCTTGTCTAACACGTATTGGGTATTGCAAATTTTAAAATAAAAAAACGACCAATAATAATTATTATTAACCTATGTTCCTATTTAAAACATATTTTCTGTAAAAAAACTGCTTGTTTGGTTGTCTAAAATAGTCCTTGTATTTTATTATAATAATTTTTTGTATTCCCACCTTTAAAACGCCCATTATCGTCCACGTTTCCATGACACTAAGTAACCTTTTAAATACACGTTGACAAGTTGTGGCTTTATGGCACTTTAGTTACGGGCTGAAGTTAGCAACAGGTTTTTAGTCACGGGCTGAAGTTAGTTTTAAGTAAGTTGCCAAATGTCAATCGTTAAAATAAAGTACCTTTTTTGTAAAATAATACTAAATGTGACCTTTTGATTTTGCCGAAGTAGTGCAGTTAAGTAGATTTAACTGACAATTGCTTCTATAACGATTGTTAGTCTTTTTTCAAGGGATACATTTTAACGACGGTAGATTCTCAAGTTAGAAATTCTAACATGAATTCCAATAAATACAATTATCACTTTTTTTACCTTTAACATTTACCATGTAAGAATTTTTAATATTTTGTGATAATATTTTGCAATCATAGGAATAAAAAAAATAGAAGGATAACATATGTTTCTAACATAATCATATTTTAAAGTTATTTTAATATTTTAAAAATCAATAATTGTTAAGTTGAAACATAATATACTACTATCTACTCCTACATTGAAGAGCTGTGCTGGCGTTTTAGTCACGGGCTGAAGTTAACAACAGTAGCTTTTGGGCATTTTAGTCACGGGCTGAAGTTAGCTTTATTATAAATTGCGAAAAAGTGAGGTTAAATTCTGTCAAATATTTTTAAATTAAAATTGGCTTTAAATTCTTATTTCGGTTCGTTGTAGATAAAGTATAGTATGCAACTCGGAACTTCTCTAGACACTCGTTTTTATTAAACACTCGCTCGCAAGCTTCGCTCGTGCCTAATAAAACACGTAACTAAAATGGCGTTTATAAAACTTAATACATTATATACTATTATATACTCCTACATTAACGAGCTGTGACTTTATGGCGTTTTAGTCACGGGCTGAAGTTAGCTTTATTATATATTGGGGTAAATTGAGGTTAAATCCGTTGACATTTGACAGATGTCAAATATTTAACAAATAAAATTGGCTTTAAATTCTTCTTTGTGTTCGCTGTAGATAATTATATATAGATAAATTATATATATATATATATATATATATTATGCAACCCGTTTTATAAACTTCTCTACGCACTCGTTTGCAAGCTTTGCTCGTGCCTAATAAAACTCGTAACTAAAATAGCAGTTATAAAACTTGATACATAATTTACTATTATCTTCAAGCGTTCTAAAATTATAATTTAGTCTTTATTATTGGCAACGTTTACTACCAAAGTATTTGATTATCTCCTAGTCTGTAAAAACCCGTTCGATAATTGTTATATGCCAATCGTCTTAGAAGTGTTTTTGTGTTCCGCTTATATATTTTATAATTAAATATTTATTAATTATACTTTTTGTTTCAGCTACATACACCATTTTCCTACGTTTGATTAATAAGTGAGTATTAACCAACAAATTTCACAAATCAGTTCAAAGTCCTTGTGTTAAACCTTAACAATTTTACCGCCGGCGCTTCCAAATAAATATATATCACCCCAATGTCGTGTATCAAATATAATTTTACACAAGCTTAGTTTATTTTTGTAGTAGTTATACAGCGACAGTACTTAACTTATATCGTATCCATTAGCATGTCACAGTTTTTATAACTTTTATTGTTGATGCTTCATGTTTGCCGAAATCTAGTAATCGAATAGAACAACTGAAAATAGAACAAACTTTTGTTTCAAAACCTCGTTAAACGTATAAGTGGTGATTGTTCGGGGAGTTGTGAATACTAAAGTGATAAAAATTGACTTTTTCAGTTATAATTGTGTCGTGGTGGAATTTGAGGATTCCATGTGAACCGGCAATTTGTAAATGAACTTGCTGGGGATTTATCGAGCAAATTACGAGACGCCATGCATTCAAAACAGCGATAATTAAAGGTAATTGCTGCGAAAAACATGCTCCGAAGGCGTTAGTGAAAGATTCAATGAATACCTTTTCGGAATTATTGTTTGCTTAGGTTTTATTCGATGAAAGGCTCACATTTAGATTTAACCAATAAAATTACAGTTACATTCTAGTAAATATAATTTTGTATTTGTAATCATAGAAATTACATTTGAGGTAACTAAAACTTTTCAAGCCGAAGTTACACAGTAAAAAATTTTAAGTTGTTAAATTATGATTTGTTAATACAACAATATTTATTGCTAAAATTCATAAAATAGAGTGGTAAACTTAACAAACACATTTAACAAATAAAGTAGTAAATATAAATTTTGATAAAACGACAAATTAAATTACCAATAAGTCTATTTAGCGAAATAAATTGTAAATTAACTAATATATTTGTTAATAAATAAAAAAAATATTGATAAAATCAACAACAACTAATTTGTAAATTATCCTAAATATTAGTTGTTAATACGGCAACTTCTTATGGCTAAAAAACAAATCATAAATTGTTAGTAGGGCAAATATATTTGCTAAATCAACAATAAATAACTTTTCGTAATTAAGCCGCTTGAAATTGTAAAAAAAACACACTTCAAGTTGTTAAAATACAAAATTTATGTGTCAAAGATACAATTATAAGTTGACATAATAACAAATAAATTTGATAAATATCTTTATGATTTGTTAAAATGAACAAAAAATAATTTGCAAATTTCACCAAATTTGGGTTGTTATTTTAGACATTCGAAGTTTGTAAAAAAAACAACACTTAGTTGCTAAAATACCAAATAGGTGTGCAAAATTTGGTCTTGATTTTGTAAATTAACAAAAAATGTTGCTATTTTCGAGCAGAGCGCATGCTCGGCACAAGCCTGCGGCTTCATGATGACAGTGTCATCATGACACCGTTATTAAGTGGCTGTGGTCAGTGTTAATAGGTGGGGTGTTTTTCTTTTCGTCAGTCGGCTTTACTGTAAGTAGGTATTCTAAAGCCATTATGGAGTACGGATTTACAAAATTATACTTCCGTGTTAAATATGACGAAACAGAATGGTGTTCTATATTGTCCCCTTGCTCGTATGAAGACATAATTAAAAGTGGTAAGTAAAGCAAAATATTTTTGTAGATTATCTTTATAATTTGCCAAGAAACAAAAATGGGAAAATTTGTAGCATTAAGTAATATTTTATAATGTTTTTTTCATTATGTTACTTCCGATGAGCTATTTTTTCTTTAAAACATAAATTTCTTTTATAAAATTTTAATTATTTTGGTGCGAAAGCCATCTTGATTTTCTGAACAAATACGAATCTGTGGTTGCAGAAAGAACGCAGCAAAAATACACTCACCCGCAATGTCTAGGGATATTTAAAAAAAAATATTTTACTTGTATTAAGTATACTTATTGCTTAAGTATACTTATTTTTTATTGATATACAAGTAAAAGAATTTTTTAAAATATCCCTAGACATTGCGGGTGTGTGTATTATAGAGGTTTACGACGTTGTCGCGTTTATCTTTTACTAGCTACCTAGGTATCTCTAACTTGAAAAACTAAAGTTTAGTTTTTAATAATTAAATTGTAGCTTGATCGGCAAGGTTATTATTCGCGATTAAAATTCCAATTAAGGGTGTTGTGTGAAACAACTTGTTTGTTAAATAAATTTTGTTTATTTAATGTTTATAAGATTATGGGGTCTGTTCAAAAATGCTTATCATAGAGTTTTGTGCCACAAATAATTTAAAATTATTAAAAGGGTGTTTCATTTACATATTTCAGTAAGAAAATTATTTCCGTCCTTGGAATCAAAGGAATTTACACTCCAAGACGAATACGGGGCCAATCTTCGGGGAGATTTTTTAGAAGAATATATTAAAATTTCCTCTAGAGGAGTTCTTCTAAAAGTTAAGTTTTGTTATGTTTTTTGCTTATTTTATAATAAAATGAAACAATAATAATAATTATTATTGTTAATAATATTTTAGTTTTGTTGTGTTTTTTGTTTATTTCATAATAAAATAAAACAATAAGTGTAAATAATATATTATAATAAATATTGTTAAACATGTTTTGTTTCTTTAAAATATATATTTTTGTACTTTAATATGTGTTTATATTATATTACCTTATACCAAATACCCATGTCACATATTATCACATATGTATATTTTTTTAGGAAAAAGTATAATTTGTCCTTTGTACAATTTTAATTTATAATATTGTTAATTATGTTAGTTGCTTATAAATATTTTTTTTGCTGTTTGTTAAATTTTATTTTTATAATTTCGCCAATTATTGTTGCATTTAGCAAATAAAAAAATATGTTATAATTGTAAAAGTTAATAAATTTTATTTTACAAAAATAAGACTATTAGGTACAATATTTGTACCTAATAGTCTTATTTTTATAATTATTATAACGCATTTTTTGTTTTTAATTAAAATTAACTGCAACAATAATTGGCGACTTAACAAAATAAATTGTACAAATAGCAAACAAAGTTTGGATTTTCCACCCAAAAAAATTGTACAATTGACAACAAAAAAATGCTTTTATGACAAAAAAGAATGCAACTTTAACAAATTTATTTTTTAAAATACTTAAAAATAATTGTTCAAATGGCAAATAAAAGTTGCTTCCACCACAAAAAAGAATACAACTTTAACAATTTTATTTGTTAAAACACAAAATAGGTAATTGTTGAAATGACAAATAAAGGTTGCTTCCACGACAAAAAAAGAATACAATTAAAAAAAATATTTGTTAAAATACACAAAAATAATTATTTCAATGACAAATAAATTTTGCTTAAAGAACCAAAGAAGAATGTAAATTTAACAAATTTATTTTTTAAAATACATAAAATAATTGTAAAAATAGCAAATTAAGAATTGCTTCTACGACCAAAAAAAATGCGAATTTAATAAATTTATTTGTTAAAAATTGAAAATTTATTTTATAATTTAACAAATTTATTGCATTTATTAACAATATATATTTGTTAAATAATAACAATATAGTTTGCTTATTTTAACAAACGTAATTTAACAACTAGGGAATGCAAATTATTTTGTTAAATCAACATAAAAAATTAGTGGACCTGTGGGAGCAAAAAAAATTGCTAAAATTTTGCTAGATTTAGCAACTTATTTTTTACTGTGTAGCTTTGTTGGTTAACAGCTGTCAAATGTGTATTATCTTTCAAAGATAATACACATTATTATCTTTGATAATACCTACTTAAATGTGGAAATTATTTTATTATCTCAATACAAAAATTGTTTTTAGAGCTAATTTAAAAAAGTTTATATTCACGTTTGTGCACAGAAAAAACGCTAGCATAGCATGAATGGGTGAGCCATTAAATCGATGGGATCTTGTAATCCGTATTCCTGAATAACAGTTCCTATAATACCAATATGTAGTTAGCACTTGGTTTATAATCGTTTACTTTTTTTAAATTAACAACAAAAGTTATCGCTCCTATATCTATTGATATTTATATTGATATTTATTTGATTTTATGTTAGAATGTTATTGTATTAAATACTAATTTAATTTATTTAATAACGTTACTATAGTATGTATACTATGTATACATTTAAAGCAATAAATTCTTTGACAGGCAAAATGTTTCCCTATTTTGGTTTAATTGTAAATAATTAAGCAAATAACAATTTAGATTGCTTCAATTTTAATGCATTCAATGACAGCGCTGTTCTTGGTACTATGTTAGATTTTTTTATGTGTGCTGAACTTTTGTATTCGAAAACCATAAGAACTTCCTCTTCACTTTCACTTTAAAACTTCTTCTATATCTCAGTTAAACTGTCAATAGTCCATTTTTAAGGATAAAAGAATCGATTTTTAAAGGAAAATTTGACAAACTGAAACTGACAAAACATATTCTTAAAACCAATTTTGATTTTTTTTTGCATACAAATATTTTAATTAAATATTAAAACATTTTTTTTAATATTGTTTGACAAAGAAAAAGTATAGTATCATACTATATCATACAGGGGCGTAGCTACCACGGTATACCGTATATATCAGCCGTATCAATGATAAGGGGCCCCCGGCTAGGGGGGGCCCCCGATTGCCTTCGATATGCGTAAGCAAAAGACATATTACACACATGTTAAAAAAATTGAGGCATGAAATTAAATAAATAAATAATATTATTATTTCAATTTATTAAATTAAAATTTTCCTGAATACCCTTCTGTTCCAAAGAGGCCGTGAACTCATACGAACTGTTTCTGCCCGCACCTTTTCGCTATGCGTTGTTTGCGGCGCAGTCTGCGTATATTTTTCTGTGCTCTGCGCCGCATACTGAGTCTGCTTTGCGTTATCATAGGTTAGATGTTGAAGAACCGTAAATGTCTAAAACCAGACCAAATTTCACTTCTTGGGGCGGCAAAAATCGTGAGAGAAAATGCGAAAAAAACTGGAAGACAGAATATAAAAATAAAAAAAATATTTGATAATTAAATATTCTCTTTCGAAATAATATAATTCAAATTTCAATAGATTTGAGATTTATACAATTACTCCCAAAATATTCCAAATCAAATAAAGCTAGCAAAAAATAGAAACAAGACCGGTATTCTAAATATTTAAACATTTTTATTTATTTTTTACTCAGGTTTAAGTTTTTTTTGTAGGTACTTTTACATAAGGTTGAGAATTTATCTCTTTGTTTTTTTCATATAAATTATGTTAAAGCACATTTTATTTGTTGTTTTTCTTTACCTAGGTCTAAGAATTTTTGTTTGATTTTAATTCTTAAAATATTACAATTTAATGTTATATACAGTATGTCTCAGTATCTTGGAATCATATGGAAAACTTTTTTATTATTAATTTTAGGAAAAAAAGTTATTCTTCATAAAAAGTTCTGCATGGTGTAAAACTTAAAATGCAACCCACAAATATTATTTTTTTTTAGTCGTATACGGGGTATGTCAAAAAATATGAAT